ACAGTATAAAAAATATAACAAAAGATTAAATATAACAAAATATTCTGAAGTGAAATTAGGAAATGCTTGTGATCTGCAAGCACATCAAACATGATGGAAATGAAGGAAAGACACAAAAGACACATAATGTTGGGAATTTGTTTTATGTGTCACCAAAGTGCATCCCTGTATGTCCCGCTCAAATACAACATATAAGAGATATTATGATTCTCCAAAAACAAAAACTTTATTCATACAAACTTATTTCAGTCAACACACACTATTACTACAAAGTAAGTGCAAAATACTGCATCCCAGCACACATGACACGATGATACACTGTGTCTCTCTCTCAGTATCTGGTTGACATGACTGTGCATAACGTTTGTGTCCGTGGTTAAAACAAGATGTTCATTTTTTTCTCCACCATCTTGATTGATGCTTATAATGAAATTGTGGTGTGCGTCATGGCAGGCGTGGCTTACTGGTGTGTTGACTGCGCAGACTGAGAGCAAACGTGAGAGGTCACGGGCCTACGGCAGGGTGTGGCCAAGTAAAAAATCTCCAAAAAAAATCGCTAGTTTTATTTAAATATAGCTAAAATAGCTCCTTTTTTTGCGAAAAAAAAAAAAAAAGTCACAGCTGCAATGAGAAAGTAGCTAAATTTGGCGACAAAATCCCCAAATTGGCAACACTGGCACACACACCTCTGGAGCGACCAGACCGCACGCCCCTTTCCACTTCCGTCACTCACGCTTCCCCAGGCTCACCGGTGTTGCCAACTAAATGCTGATGGCTATTTATGTTCTTACTCAGGGTTTTTGAAAAGATATAGGCTAACATACCTGTTACTCCACGAGTTCGCTATTGTAATGGATGCCATGGCATGGGGTCATCATATCTCTTCTTAAAGACCCCAGTCTTCTTTGTCAGTAGTCAGATTGGGAATATTTGTTTTTTATCTGGTTCTTCATGGGCGGAAGAGGAGAATGAGCTGTTTCGGAATGAAAAAGCTTCTCTCCCATACATTGTGTCCGACTGGAATCGCCAATTTGTCAATATTCCAAGAAAGTGTGGACTTTGTCATCTAAATATTTAATAACCAATAAGGCAAAGGACCTTGTTTCTTACAGAGTACTTCATCTATTTTATCCAGTGAAGCTCTTAAAAAAAGATGTTTCCTGATGTTGACTCTTTGTGGTTATGAAGACGAATCCATTTCTCATCTCTTCGTGCACATGCAAGTTTGTTCTGGAAGTATTTCTGTACTTTTATACGGATATGTATACACACACACGCACACATATATACAGAGATGTTTTATTTGGTCATCACAACTTTGCAAAGATGTAAAGGACCAATGTTTTTTGACAAATTTATTTTCTAGCAAAATATTTTTTACACAAATGTACATTTCAAGGTGCTAAGCCATTCTTTTTTCTTTTTTGTAAAGAACTTAAATCCTACCTAGACACTCTCCTTACATCCATCTCTAAAGCCCTTGAAAACGTCTCACTGTGTCATTCTTTTAATATTTTCCTGATTTTGTAACTTGAATATTGAATTCTCAATTACCTTTGGCATTGGTTTTGTATGTTCTTAGCAATAAAAAAAAGTGTTGCAAAACTAATTTTCAGGGGAAGTTGCTAAAGGAAAGTACACAGACACATAAAGGGTAGCGATGGTCTAGCAGTCGTTGAGGAAACTCTCTCTCTCTCTCTCTCTCTCTCTCTCTCTCTCTCTCTCAGAGTATCAAGCTCTTTCACGCGACAGAGCATCAGCTCACCTGAAATCTTTCAGCGACTCTTATTGATTGTGCAGTTTAATTTAGATGTATGTTTAAACATCTCACTGAATCTTCTCGTTGTGTTAGTGTGAGAGAGATCAATGAAACGAATATTGGTCCTGATGCTGCTCGCGCTCGGGCTCTCCTGCGCGCACAGAGGTAAGACAACATCAACATATCTTCTCATAAACACAGGATATGATGCATTTATGAGACAAAGCGCTTTAAACTTAACAAAGCAGTGGGTAAAAAAATGAATTTGTGGTAGCTGAGAGGTGCGCTTCTTCTGAAATGACCTGTGCATTCAAATGTTCAGAATTTTGAAAACTTGCGGATCAAGATTTGATCCTAATTGTTTTAAATGAGGAGCTTTTATTGCTGTGTTGAGATTTAAGGTTGAATGTCAGATTTGAAAACGGTCTTTAATGAAACGCTAACTTATGATCAGGTGCTGGAAGAAAATTGATCACATATGATGATAAATGTGAGTTTTTGGGATACAATAGTTATTTTCTCTCCTCTTCTGTCACAATAAGTGTCATATGATGCTATTATCAAAGTTTGAGAGTAGTGGTTCGTTTTGTATCTGTCTTATGAGTGTAAGTGTAAAAAATATTTAATATAAACTGTATAATGCTTTCAATACGCAAAATATTGATAAATAATTGTTTTGGTAGCAAGTTAATTAGTTTTAGTGAATTCAATAAATTACTTCATTGCATACGCCTTCTTATAAAATACTGTGTAGACAACTGACTGAAGATATTGAGCTTACAATAATTTATCAATGCTCAGCTTTTCTCATCTTTTTTCTTGTCTTATATTGCTGTCCTGCCCTGTCCAGTGATGCATGTTCTTGTCTTTCTCTTTCCATTTTCAGTGTTTATCCATCCTGTGTTTCAGCTTTGCTTGTTTGTGCATTTCATGATTCACTTCACTAGCTCCAGACTCCTCAGGCTGTTTGTCCCTGTCACGGGAATAAACAAATCTCTCTCTCTCTCTTCTTCAGAAACATAAGATAGTAGTGTATGTCAAAATGTATTTTGCACAAAGTTAATTCAGCCTGGAATGATCATAAACATCTGGAAATTACAAAATAAACCACAACCAAATGTGCCAAGCTGTTATTAGTGTATCGGATCAGTGTCAGCAGATGCGGGATAGACTGGTATTGGTAGTTAGACACCTTTACCTTGTGCTTGCAGTTACTGTGACACACTGAGCAGCTGCTGAATTCAGGTCAGTCTATTGCGTTACGTTTCCAAGCAACAAAGGGCAATGCATTATAAGGAAGGGAAAGGAACCTATGTAGACCTTGGGTTTTCAAATCAATGATATTACGGACTTCTTTTACTTCATTGTTTATATAGCAAATAAAATATATTTCTTAGAAACACAAGAGTTCAGGTCTGGTGCAGTATAAATACAGTATATACTGAAAATATCTGTCTTTGCATGTTTGTTTTTTTTACTGGCAGAAACTACTGATTTATAAAGATGCACAATCATGTAGGCTCATTTTATGTGTGTTTGGTAACACTCTCATTTCCACCTGTTAAATTAACTTACACTCTAAAAAATGCTGGGTTAAAAAGGGACAAACCCAGCGATTGGGTTGTTTTGAACCAGCGGTTGGGTTGTTTTGAACCCACCCGCTGGTTCAAAACAAGCCAACCGCTGGGTCAAAACAAGCCAACCGCTGGGTCAAAACAAGCCAACCGCTGGGTCAAAACAAGCCAACCGCTGGGTCAAAACAAGCCAACCGCTGGGTCAAAACAAGCCAACCGCTGGGTCAAAACAAGCCAACCGCTGGGTCAAAACAAGCCAACCGCTGGGTCAAAACAAGCCAACCGCTGGGTCAAAACAAGCCAACCGCTGGGTCAAAACAAGCCAACCGCTGGGTCAAAACAAGCCAACCGCTGGGTCAAAACAAGCCAACCGCTGGGTCAAAACAAGCCAACCGCTGGGTCAAAACAAGCCAACCGCTGGGTCAAAACAAGCCAACCGCTGGGTCAAAACAAGCCAACCGCTGGGTCAAAACAAGCCAACCGCTGGGTCAAAACAAGCCAACCGCTGGGTCAAAACAAGCCAACCGCTGGGTCAAAACAAGCCAACCGCTGGGTCAAAACAAGCCAACCGCTGGGTCAAAACAAGCCAACCGCTGGGTCAAAACAAGCCAACCGCTGGGTCAAAACAAGCCAACCGCTGGGTCAAAACAAGCCAACCGCTGGGTCAAAACAAGCCAACCGCTGGGTCAAAACAAGCCAACCGCTGGGTCAAAACAAGCCAACCGCTGGGTCAAAACAAGCCAACCGCTGGGTCAAAACAAGCCAACCGCTGGGTCAAAACAAGCCAACCGCTGGGTCAAAACAAGCCAACCGCTGGGTCAAAACAAGCCAACCGCTGGGTCAAAACAAGCCAACCGCTGGGTCAAAACAAGCCAACCGCTGGGTCAAAACAAGCCAACCGCTGGGTCAAAACAAGCCAACCGCTGGGTCAAAACAAGCCAACCGCTGGGTCAAAACAAGCCAACCGCTGGGTCAAAACAAGCCAACCGCTGGGTCAAAACAAGCCAACCGCTGGGTCAAAACAAGCCAACCGCTGGGTCAAAACAAGCCAACCGCTGGGTCAAAACAAGCCAACCGCTGGGTCAAAACAAGCCAACCGCTGGGTCAAAACAAGCCAACCGCTGGGGCAAAACAACCCAACCGCTGGTTCAAAACAACCCAATCGCTGGGTTTGTCCCTTTTTAACCCAGCGCTGGGTTATATTTAACCCAGCATTTTTTAGAGTGTAGCTTCATCTAATGCTCACTTAAAGTTAACCTTTATTAAAAGCTACTAACTACTAAAGTAATCTTTAGCAAATCTCATCATGATCATCATGAAAGAAACATCCTTCTTATAGTTCATTATAATATTGTGATGTCTAAATTCCTTAGTGTTTAAAACTATCAGTGAAACACACATTTTAAACAATGGTAATGTTAGGTATTGTTTTAAATAAAAATGTTGCTACTGTTTGTTATCATATTATTGTACTATTTGTTTTTGTAATATTTTCAAATAATTAGACATGTTGACAGGTAACATGCAATTTTTAACATTCACATGGATATTTAAAGGTGAAATGTGGACAGAACTAAACAGAATTGCAAAAAATAATAACAAAAACAGCTCCAAAAAGCAATTATCGTGGTTTAGACACTTTAAGATATTTAAGTGTGTGCATAAAAAGATATCATGTATTATTCAGCAAACCTCTAAGCACTTAAAATAAAATTTTTTGCAACATTCTTTAAATTGAGCCTATATATAAGAGTGCCAAATGAAAATATCTCATCCCTTTCAAGAGTTATAGCCATTTAAAGAAAAGTGACCCATGCCAAGTTTGAATGATGATGAATCAACAGTTTAAAATTATAGTTGTTATGGGTCTATAACAAACAGTTCAGGAGTTATGGTCAAAAATGTCAATGTCATTTGGCCAATCGGGACGAATCCATGCCATTGTGTTCCCAAATTGATTTCACCAAGTTTCAAGTCTCTAGGCCTTACAGTTTTTAGAAAGTATTTTTTACAGAAAACACATCTTGTTTACACTGAAAGACTAGTTCTTTGGAAGATAGCAGTGCTTGAACTAGAATCAGGATGGTTGAACAGACCTCGTTAGGCTCCTGGGTTGTTGACTCTTGGGTTTGGTTTCGCTGAGGCTGCGTTCTACATACAGTTGATTAATGCGTTGAGCGTCTGAACCTCTGTGGGTTCTGACAGCCCTCTGATTGATTGTTCACCATGTATCATATATATTCCTTAGTGGAGTGAGTGTGTCATTATCATCATCATCATCATCATCATCATCACACAAAAGAAGCTCCATGTTCCTCCTCTCTCAAATGTGTGTGTGTGTTTGGCTGCTCATGGGAGGCCAACACCATATGTTCATCACTCATTTCTCCTTTAACTTTGTGTTCATGCATGCACACCTCTCCACACACCCCTCATGTAGGAAGTTCAGTGTGTGTTTTAGAGTTTAGGAGCTCTTACATCAGCACTATGGAAGTGTTACAGCAGTATTGCAGAGCATTCATCATGTTCCTCTATACAGAAGCTGCTTGGATTTTAAGACTGGACAGGATAGAGGAAAAGAAGAGATAAAGAAATAATATTATGCCAACAGTAATTATTATTATTTTATCCACCCATTCATTTTTCAAACTGATTATCCTCTATAGGGTCGCAGGGTAAATTATATCATATCATATCATATCATATCATATCATATCATATTATATTATATTTTATTTATTATATCATATTATCAATATTATATATTATATTGAACACAGAAAATTAAGTCAGAAATAAAGGTTGCAGGTCTTATAAGCACATATTTCCATATACTGTAAGTCAAAAAAACTTTCAGTCATTCACTTATTGTTGTATATTTGAGATTTTATTTTAGTTAAAGTTTTAGTAATTTTGTAGCTTAGTAGTTTTTGTTTTTATTTCAGTATTTAGTTATTTTAGTACATCATGGTTAGCATTTATTTTATTTTAAGAATGAAAATGTTTTTAATGGCTTTAAATTTAGTTTCAGTTTTAGTTTTAATTAACTTTAATAACTCTGGTTTGAGTACATCAAAGATTATTACATATTACAAAAAAAGTTTTTAAAAAGTAAAATAATTTTTTAGAATTCATTGTAAAATAATCAGTTTTAACTATTTGGAAATATAGTTTTTATTTGACAATATGCACACATTCATTCACTCTTAATCATATGCCTAATATGCTGAAAATGGCTCCTTTTTTCATGTCACAATCATTTATGACTACATGAATTGTGCAAATGAAGCTTTAAAATCAAAACAGCAAAATCTGACCAAAAAAAAAAAGAGTAGTTGCTTCACTTACTTCGCCCATTTAACATTTATATCATAGAATGGATGTCAAGTATTAAATGTTTGGCTTCTTACATTGCACTCTTTCACTGTCACAATGGAATTCACACTCGGTTTCTATGAACAGTTAACTTCAGCTTCTTTGATGTGATTTGACATCTCAAACATTTTGACATTGAAGAGCGCTTGGACATTAATATGTGCTGTTTTTGTCATCCTAACATCATACAGAGCAACGCATAATAGAGCACAACAG